GAGTTGTTTGGTGATCCTTCCCTTTTCAAGATAAAGCTAATATTTATAGCACCAGGGTTTTGTAGCTTTAAAATTGCTTTCTTTAGTTGCCCTTGTAGTGGACTCTTGGGCTACAACATTTGAGTACCAAATATTTATCCAATAAGATTATGTATTTTTTATAGTTGTTCATCATTTATAGAACTCGTACTAGAGAAACTAAATTCAAAGTTGGTCCTTGTGATTATGAGGGGATCAATACCATACATTTTTGGGTTTTGCAGGGGTTGGAAGTTAGGGGGTGCTAAAAATGATACTAATGACATTCGTAGAGGAAGTGGAGCTACAAGTGGAAAAAGAAATTGCAATGAAGATTGAATTGTCATACTATTAAACAAAAAACATTCAACTTTTACATGAATTTTAACTTATGGTTAATAACAAAATTGTGTTGCTTGTAAATGTTTTTTTACTTGTTAGATGGTGATTGAGATGATGACAGTAATTCGGAAGATAATTATAATTCGGTTCGAATTCGGTTTAAGATTTGATGGAATTCCAAAACTTGATATGCATTATTTCAATTCGGTTCAACAATTAATAATAGAACTATGACACAATCAAACCCGAACGAGCAAAATGTTGAATTGAATCGTACGGGGTTATTACTATTTTTGTACTTTCTATTTTATTTTCTAAGTATTTCACCCCTAATTTGCAGCACTAGCCATCACCACTAGAGATGGCAACAAAACCCGAACCCACGGGTACCCACCCGACCCAACCCGGTCAACGCGGGTAAAACCCATGTTGACGGGTTTTGGGCCGGGTTTGGGTCTAAACCCGCTACACTATTCACCGGGTTGGGTTTGGGTTTAGGTAAACCCGCCCCACGGGTACCCGCCCACACATATAATTACTTTCTCGGTATATTTAATATTCTAAATAATATATCTTCTTTAAACAACTAATATTATCTATGTTTGTGGAGACATGTATAATTTGTTCTTTCAAATTATTTAGAATGTAGTTGATATTATGGAGTGGAGAGTGAAGAAACTTATTTGACGAGGAAGAAGATTTCAATTAATCTTGTTGTTTATAGATGTTTATCTTTAATTTTGAACAATTAGTATTGATCATTTGCGGTTTGCTTGTATGTTCTAGATTGGTATTTTTTGTATGAATAATTTGTATGAGAAAATTGAGGTTAAACTTTTATTTTGAAAGAAATTTGTTATTGTAAATTTTTTACCACAAAAACCCAGGGTACCCATGAACCCGCGGATACCCAGCGGGTTGGGTTGTGTTTGAGTTTTTCAAACCCAACGGGTTTTACCCCGTGTTTTTTTGGCGGATAAACCCATGGGTTTGGGTCTGGGTTTGACAAAACCCGCCCCAACCCGACCCATTGCCATCCCTAGTGGTGTGTCATTGTTTTGGATGATTATGTGTTTTTGTTGTTTGAGTCGTTGCTTAGGGACAAGCAACAATTGAGTGTGGGGTTGTGATATTCGGCTTTAACATATTGAATTCTTGGACTTTATGTGATTATCCGTGGTATGTTTTAGCCAATTGGTGCTATTTTAGGGCTCGCTAACCCGAGAATTGTTGAAAAACCATTATTGCCTAGTGCTATGAGTTTGATGTATTACAGGTGAAGAAAACACGAAAAAGAAGTTGCACCGGTAAACATTTCTCGAAAGCTGAGCTTAAAGCCCAGCTGGATGGGGATTAATGAAGCGGGCCAGGACCGATTAGCTGGCGGAAGGAAACAAAAGATGGGCGGCCATTAATTTGTTGGGCCGAAGATTGCTAGCAAGGCCCAAATTTTTGTTCTTTCTCTCCTGGGCTGGGGACGGGATCCAGAAGCTTGGAATTTGAGAGGGGCTTGGCTTTTGATTATTCTGGGCGGACAGAGGCAAAGGAGGGAAGGAGGCGAACTAATATTGGGCCACGAAATTCTCTGGGGAAAGAGAATGGAGGGAATTGAGCTGGCAACGGAAATCTCTTTGGGGGAATTAAAAGAAGAGAAAAACAAAAGGTTTGGGGGCGGAAATCTCTGGAAGAAAAAGAAAGAAAGGAGGCGCAGCACAAGCAGTTTTGGACGAGGGTTGATTAGCGACTTGGCGATCGAGTTATTCAGGGAAGCTTGAACTGAGTTCAACGAGAGCGATTAGTTGGTTGGATTTTCTAAACAGAATTAGTTGTTTCTTGTTGATTTAGAACATGATGAACAAAACCCTATCGATTTATCTCAATTTCGTCATGAACTAAACCCCGATTTCTGGGGGAAACACCATAGGATGTAGCTATTTCTTGATTTGATGGATTGATTCATGATTCTTTTCTTCCAATCTCTATTGCATGAAATTACTTAATGCTTTGTGTTGACTGGCCACCAATACAATGAATTGTAGTTAATTAGGTTATTAGCGACAGTGAAACCCTAATAACTGAACCTATTTCATGTGACATAGTAACTTATCGAAGCAACAGTGGATTAAATAAGGTACTATGCGGTCTTAAATGGGATATCGATCTTCAGGCTAAATAATTAGGTCATTGAGCTACGACAGTAGGATTTGATTTAATTGTTTAGTACGTAGTAATGCCCGACAGGGATAGCTAGCACCGTAGTGATATCCTGGCTGTAGAGTTTTGGATTAAATCGATTGGAGTATGTGAATTAATCTGGATAGGATAGGTAGTGAATCCCGGTGTTTCTCCCAGAGCTTTCTCCATTGAATTTCTCCCGAACAATTTACTTTGCTTAATTAGTTAATTTTGCTTTTAGATAATTAGTCTCATTAAACATTTTCACATATAGTTTGCTCAATAAAATTGATAGAACTTAAGGTTGTACCAGTCCCTGAGAGACGATACCCGGACTTCCCGGTTTACTACAAGATAGGAATTGAAGCTATACGCTTTTGCCCTATCAACGAACTATCAATGACTGTTACCGATACATGCGTCGACCAACCTAACGATAAACCAAACCCCTTATTGACATGATGAACAATCTCTTGAGAGTTAAAACCCAAATGTCGGAGTTTGAGCAACACACACTCTCCTAGACTTTATTTCAGAAAAGAAAATAACATAAGGAGATTGGGACCAAATTAAACTTGTGGTCGCTTGGAATGTCAGGTTCAGACCAAACCCTGACAATTCCAGGCCAATATTCTCATTGATCGGTTAGGGATCATATGGGGCTTGCTTCCTCCATCACTTTCTTCTCAATCTGCTCTATCTTCTGGCGCACCTTCTTTCACGATGCATGTTCTGTGTCCTCGTCTTTCTCAGTCGTAAATGACCTCTTTCGATCAGTTAACATTTCGTCTGTCTCTGTCCAGGACATCCTGAAACCAAGTTTGAGCCCCTGCTTGACGCCAGTAGGTGGGTAGAGGGCTAAGATCAGGTGACTAGGGGGGGGGGGGGGTCCCTTAGTCACTTGCCTAAGTCGATCTCAGGCATTCAAGTTCATTAAAATCCAATGGCTCTAATTAATTTAATTTAATGAAGGGTAATGTAATAATTAGTGATGGCAATTTCAACCCGCCCCGCGGGTATTACCCGACCTGACCCGCGATGTGGCGGGTATTACCCGACCCGCAGTTGCGTGGGGCGGGACATGGGTATCTACTTCCGACCCGTCCTGCCCCGCCCCGCCCCATTCTAGACTCATTTTATCTCAATTTCTTACAATTTCTATACATATTTCTCCTATTTTGACTTTTCTTCAACTAGTTAGAGTCGCTCTTTCAACTTGTTAGACTCAATTACCCATTCTATTATCACTATTTTCATTCTAAAAGTGTTTTTCCCTTCGTTTTAAGAAAAGTCACTAATAGGGGCGGGACATGGGAATTGAGGTACCCGCCCCGTCCCGCCCCATTGCCATCAACTGAGAATTTCTAGGAGTTCTCCGCAGTCTAGGATTTTTCCGCGGCCAACATTTTTGTATGCCGTCTCCATTTTTGAGTCCCGGGCCACCAAAAAAATGGTGCGTCCCAGAAAAAGAGAGAGAGAGAGAGAGATTCTGCTAATCGAAGGAGACTTTCCGGTGACCAGCGACGACGGAGAAGTGTTTCCCGACGACAATGCTGGATTTGTGATGTTTGTTGACATATTTTATAATGTTTGTAAGTCTGGTTTTGTAATGTTTGTATCGATTTGGTTTGTATTGTTTATCATTTTTAGTGACATTTTGTACGTTTAGTATGCTTTGAACTGTTAGTCGATTTATTTTGTAATGTTTGTACGCTTTGTTATTTTGTAATGTTTGTCGGTTTCTTTTGTAATGTTTGTAAGTTTTGTTATTTTTGTGCTCCGTGTTTATCATTTTTGTCAACCATGTTTGTAATGTTTTTTATGTCTAAAAAACAACCTAGTTGACTTTTGTATGAAACTCTTTTATACAGGGATGTAGCCTCCAAAGTCAACTCGGGTGTTTTTCCAGTTTGTATGGGTTGTCGGTCTAGTTTATTATTTTTGTCCAACATGTTTGCATGTCTAAAGGACAACTAGTTTGACATTGGAATAGGGCACCTCTATATAGGGATGAAGCCTCCAAAGTCAACTCGGTTGTTTTATCTTTTTGTATGGTTTGTATTGTTTGCCGGTCTAGTTTGTATTAGTTCATACGTTTGTAAAGTTTGTAAATATGTATGTATGTTTTGTCGTTGTAATTTGTACTGTTTGTATGGTTTGTACTGATTGTAACTCTAGTTTGTATATTTCGTAATTTTTCATAATACCCAAACTACCCCTGCCATTAATTAAATAGTTCTTTCCCCTTTTTAACCGTCAAATTGCTGTTTCCCGATCTAAGGGATGGGAGGGGATTAGTCAAGTGACTACGCACCCCTAGTCACAGATCTGAAATCCCCTACCCAAAATATCCAAACTACCCTAGTTTCTGGAATTGGACTTCGGGCCCAACTAGCCCATCTTCCACCGCTTTCTCGGCCATCTTGCGAATTAAGCGGAGGAGTTTTCTTAGGATCCGCCACGGCTTAGTCATGATCACCGCTTGCTTTGCCATGTTCTCCCCCACTACCAGCCACCAGATTTGGGTTAAGCCAAACGGTTGATGACCGACATTGGTTAGGCCTAGGACTAGACCCCCAAGCTTGTTTTGTTCCTCTCGTCGCCGGCGGGTTTGACGGGAGCAGAGTCCGGTCATATAGCCTGTTGCCGAAGATCTCCGTCATCATATGTGGGCCATAATTTTCGACACCCGAATGAGGTGGCGAAAATCGGCAGTGCTGTTCATCGTTGCCAATCCTCCCACACTTGTAGCAGAATAAAGGCAGACATTCATACACTATCTCCACCCTGAAATTTCCCAGAGCTGGGTGTGAAGCTTGAAGCCAGCTACGAAGCGGCTTCTCAATATCAATAGTTGCCTTGACTTTTGCAAAGTATTGCTCCTCGTCTACCATTGAATACAGCCGCATCAGTTGTCGGCCCCAATTTATTCCCCAGCTTCCTGCCCAACACCACCGTTCTGAAGTGTCTAGGGATTCCCAGATCTGAACATAGAGCAGCACATGCACCAGAGTTGACGGCGTCTCCTTTTTAACCGGCTCCCAAACTTGGACATGCAGCAGATAGTCATTCAGACGGTAGGGAGTTCGCCGCAGAATCCAATCTCGATTTGCCAAAGTCGGGAAAATGAATTAAAACAGACCGAGTTCTGCCTTCAACACCTTCACTTGTTCAGCACATTTCTAAATGATATTAACCACCCCTATCCAGGTTCGATTGATTCGGCTGTTTACCTGAGAAGATTCGGCCTAGAAGGCTCAACTGAGTTCTGTCTATGCTTTCCTCAACATCTGAATCTTCAAACAGAACAACCTGGTCAAGATGAAGGCACGACGAACCAGGACAAAGCGGCCGGTCAGATACTGGGTCTTAAATACCACGAGTCAGGGGAAAACACCTGGGCAGAGAAATACAACCCTTAAATGGCAATTAATAGGTAGACAGGAGAAGGCCCGAATTGAGAGAGTCGACTCTCAACAACCGCATTTATGGGCGAACGCAGTTATGGAGGGGAAGAACAGAGAGGAGCAAGGAGGACAAGAGGCGAGACACTATAAAAGGAGAAATCAACATCCAAGGTCTGGACAACCAAAGCCAAAGCAAAACCAGCGCAACCACCAAAGAGTAAGAGAAACCCACTTCTACCCACAGAGTCAGTACCCTCAAACAAACAAAATCACCACCGAATACCAAAAAATGGAACTCAATGCGTCGAGTTCTAGAGGAATGAAGAGCCATCTGGTTCTGAATGTTAGACCAAGAGTCGTTGGAGCCAGAGATAGTGGCATCCCCATGCTTCTCTACAGATGGGTCACGGATGCTAGCATCAACTTACATAAAGCAAAGAACACAGCATCTTACAAATGGAGGGCCTATGGAGAGGTCCAAGCCACCAAAGAAGCCGACAACCTATTTGTGTACTCTTTCCCATCCATGAAGCAGAGGGATGCAGTCTGGGAGGCACGCCCCTGGCTACTGGGCAACACAATGATTGCAATGAAGAAATGGGATGGCGAACAGAAGGCCGAGCTGGAAGACATCAACACTATCACTCTCTGGGTGCAGATGCATGACCTCCCCCAATCTTTAAAAGATGAAGAATCAATCCAAGCGGTGTCGGAGTTCATCTTCCCACAATATCATGGAATTGACAACTCCAACTTTGAGTTCAGGGGGTGGCTGAAGTTCGTCAGAGTCAAAGTGGAAGTCCAACTGGATAGGGCTGTACCGATCGGCTTTGAATGCCCGCTGGGAGAAAGATCCACCTGGGTGAGTTTCAAATACGAAAGAATCACTGACTTATGCTATTTCTGTGGCCGCCTGGGTCACTTGATCCAAAACTGTTTGGAAAGGGAAGATCATCAGAGAAGGGGACTCTGCACCGACCCCTCAGAGGTCTACACGGCGGCCCTCAAAGCGGGCCACGACTCACCGGAAAACATCCCACCGGCGTCATTCCAGGAGAAACAGGAAAGCATCAGGCAGGGCTCGCAGATCGAGCAACGATCCCGAAGAAGGCCAGTATCCTGAGGAGATTCGACCTTGTTGACACTGGTGGGCCACCCGGTGTAGATCGCAGCCTCGTGCCCGCCAGGCTTTATGACACTGCCGACAGAAAGTCCAGGAACAATTAGAGGAGGAGATTGGTTGCTGAGAGGTGAAGGGAGTTGCCCCACCAACTTTTCGCAGGTCTCAATGCTACAAGTGGAGATGGCAGCTGCAGCTATGCAGAAAGGTTTGGACCTGTCGGGAAGGAAGGCGACAAGGGACAAACAGGCTGGGCTCCTGGAAATGGGCCAATCTCTCTCACTCGCGAGTCCTACAGCGCCGGGCCCAGAAACTGATCCAGAAGCAAGACAAACTCAAAGTCTCCAACATCAAGCAACAGCAACAGAGGCCCAAATTTCCCAGCTCTTTCATCTCAAGCCTGCTGAAGCTCATGATCAAATGGCCCAATTAATTCAACAGACCCCAAACCTTCAGAACCCTACAGTCGAGACGGAGGCCCTGACCAGACCAGAGAAGAAACGGACACCTGAACACCGAACAATTCAGGCGGAGTCGGCACCGATTCCCAACTTAACTAACAATCTGTCTGTTGATTCTTTGTCTTTCACCACAGGGGGTGACATCAGGAGATATGCCAGAAAGAAGCACACAGTAAAAAGAAGAAGCATCAGGGAAATCAATGAGGATGGGAATCACTCGGGTGAAGGGGAATCCAACTTCCCGATGGCAGCGGCGGCAGGCCTCAAGCCGCATTTCCAACCATGAGATTCATCAGCTGGAACTGTAGGGGGTTTGGCCAGCCCCTTACAAGAGGCTACTGCGGCAGACTCTGCCGAAAATTAGGCCCCTCAGTTCTCTTCCTCATGGAGACCAAAAAAGATGAGCTGTTCATGGAGGGGAAAAGGAGAGCGCTGAGGTTTGATCACTCCAAGTATGTCAGTCCGTCAGTTGAAGGTAGTGGTTTGGCACTTTGGTGGAAGGATGGAGTGGAACTAAGTGTTATTGAAGCTTGTAAGTCCTATGTGGACACTAGGATTTGTAGGAATGGATTCACCTTTTTTTGTACTTTCATCCACGCTCCAACCACGGCGGTGGAACGGAGATGCCTCTGGGATCGACTTACAAACCTCAGGGAATCTCAGGATGATTTGTGGCTGCTGGTGGGGGATTTAAATGTTGCTTTGTTTCCACCCGAAAAACAGGGGCGCTGCCCCCTTCGTAATGAAAATGTGACTCCTTTCAAGTACTTCATCGAGCAGAATGCGTTGATGGACTTGGGTTTCTCGGGTCAACCTTTCACATGGTCGAACAAGCAGCAGGGGGATAACCTCATTAGAGAGAGGCTCGACAGAGCACTCTGCTCACCATCGTGGAGAATGAATTTTGAATCGGCAGTGGTCTTTCATGAAGATTTTATTGAATCGGATCACTGTCCGATTAGAGTTGACCTACACCCCAAACATCAACCGAGACATACCCCATTCAGGTTTGATAAAAGATGGCGGGATAGCGAGGAGTGCTGCCAAATTATCACCACCAGATGGAACAGAGAAGGCCAAGTCAGCGAGAAGTTATCTGATTGCCAGAAAGAACTCCAACACTGTGCCAGAGTTAATCACAATAACAAAATAAGAAGAGAATCGGAAATCAAAGCGACTATGCAGGCTTTACAAGGTCCAATCAGAACTGAAGAAATGATGAACGAAGAAAAAGCACTAAGTCTCGAGCTCGCAAGAATCTAGAATACGGAGGAGGAATTCTGGGCTCAAACGTCCCGAAATGGCTGGCTCCAAGAAGGGGACCAGAACACGGGATTTTTCCATGCCAGCACTGTCAAAAGGAGTAACAGGAACAAGATCTCTAAACTGAAAAATCCCCGAAGGAGTTTGGCTGGAAGAACGTGAGGATCTAGACTGCCACATCATTGAGTTCTACCGTGGTCTGTTCACCAGTAAAAGAGAAACTTTTGACCACTCACTTCTGGAAGGCTTCCCGCAACTGGTGTCTAATCAGATAAATGAAGCACTCACTGCTAACATTGAGAAGCATGAAGTACGCAAAGCGGTTTTCCACCTGGGAGCAAACAAAGCTCCTGGCCCTGACGGCTACCAGGGTTTTTTCTTTAGGAATTTCTGGGGTGTGATCGGTGATAAGCTTTGTGAAGAGATTATTGGCTTCTTCAGATCCAAGGTGATGCCTGAGTCTTGGAACAACACTTTCATTACCATCATCCCAAAAGTGGACTTCCCTGAAACAATTGGCCAGTTTAGGCCAATCAGCTGTTGCAATTTCAGGTACAAAGTCATTACAAAGATTCTAACTAACAGACTACAAAACTGGCTCCCTGGGCTAGTTAACGATCTCCAATCGGCATTCACAGGCGGAAGGCTCATACAAGACAACATTATCATTGTTCATGAAGTACTAAATCATTTCAAGAACAGTCGGTCTGGAAGTGGCAAAGATTTGTTAATGAAGTTGGATATGCGAAAAGCATATGACCTTGTTGAATGGCAATTCCTCCTTGAGCTTCTGAGAGCCTACGGCTTTAATGAAGCGTGGTGCCAATGGATCAAGTCATGCATCTCAACGGTCAAATTCCGAATCCTTTCAAACGGGGAACCATCATCCGAGTTCACACCCTCCCGAGGACTGAGACAGGGAGACCCTCTTTCTCCTCTGCTTTTTATACTGATGTCTAATGCACTCTCTTTCCTGATTGAAAAAGCGGTACAGAGACAAGAAATACGAGGCCTCAAGCTGAACAGAAACTGCCCCCTGCTGACCCATTGCCTGTTTGCTGATGATACCGTGATCTTCGGTGGAGCCTCTATCCAGGAAGCACAGAACATCCTGCAGATTCTTGATTCTTATGGCTCGATCACAGGACAGGAGGTCAACCGGGAAAAATCCTCTGTCTTCTTCAGCCAGAATGTCACTGAGAACGAAAGGGAAGGCATTTTCCACGCTACTGGTTTCGACTGCTCCATTACTCACTCCAAGTACCTAGGAGTTCCCACAGAATGGGGCAGATAAAAAAAAGAAACGTTCCACTTTCTTCTTCAAAGAATGGAAGAACGAGGGGAGTCATGGAAGAGCTTGCTGTTATCCCCAGGGGGAAAAGAAACCCTTCTCAAAGCTGTGTTCCAGGCAGTCCCATCCTACATCATGAGCCTTTTCCTCCTACCTCGTACAATGACGAACAAAATGGATGCTATGCTCAGGAGATTCTTCTGGAGTGGTTCACTTTCAAAAAAGTCAATCCATTGGAGGGCAGCGAGAGTACTGTATGCCCATAAATCCGAAGGAGGACTTGGTTTCAGACCTTTCAATGTGTTCAATCTTGCCTTAATTGCCAAACAAGCATGGCGTCTTCTTACGCACCCCGAGGCATTATGGG